CTGGGGTCTGGACTAAATTGCGAAGAGGACACAGGCGGAAGCACCGATCCTAAGTAAATTGTGAGGAAGTCTCAGGAGCGGGGGACCTGAGTAAATTTGGAGGAAGTCTCAGGCGGGAGCCGTTGTTGTTGTTGTTGTTGTAATCCGGGGGGCCAGGGGCCCAGTTTGAGCACCAAGACTTTCTTTGTCAAAAAAACAGGGTGCGAGCGTCGAGGGGCACACTTTGATTGAGAACAAACAGGTTGCACCGGTGATGGGGGATCAGCAATAATTATTTTCCAGGAAGGAGAGTTCAACAGCGGCAGCAACAACAGCAGCAACACCAACAACAACACCACCACCCACTACCAACAACAACAACGAAACATTTTACCAAAGAAAAGCAGCAAGCACGAACAACAAACACACATATGAAAGAGGGCCAGCTCCCCCACGTCCTGAGCAAGGCCGCGGACGCCAGCCCCCCGTTGCTCCCAGACGGCGCCCTGCTGCAGCCGCGCGCGGGCCCGCCAGAAGGAGCGAGGCCCGAGACCACCGACTCCTGGCACCGGGAGGCGAGGCCGGTGACGGTCTACGGCTACGCCGCCGGGGACCGCGTGGAGATATGGAGCTCGGGGGAGGCGGAGGAGGAGGAGGAGGAGGAGGAGGAGGAGGAGGAGGAGGAGGAGGAGGAGAGGAGGAGGGGGCAAAGTGCAGGGCGGGACGCTGCAGGTTTTACCAATGATTTTCGAGCGTGTTCGTGGGCTCGCGGCGGTTTTGCGGCCTCGGGATGCCTTCCAGTAGTGGCCGCGCCTCGCCGAGGGCGTTACGGGTGTGACCAGTTCGTTCCGAACGGCCGCCAGACACCCGAGCAACGTCCCGAAGGAGGATGAGGATGATGATGATGATGATGATGAGGAGGAGGAGGAGGAGGAGGAGGAGGAGGAGGAGGAGGAGGAGGAGGGGGAGTGGGAGGGGGAGGAGGGAGGAGGAAGGGAGGAGGAGAGGAGGAGGAGGAGGGGAGGAGGAGGAGGAGGAAGGAGGAGGAGGGGAGGGGAGGAGGAGGAGGAGGAGGAGGAGGAGGAGGAGGAGGAGGCGGAGGCGGAGGAGGAGCAGGAGCAGGAGCAGGAGCAGGAGGAGGAAGAGGGCAACTTCAGGGGGCGATATGCTTAGGGGGGATCGATTGCACGCGCCGCCCAGGAGCGTGTGGCCTCGCCACGGGGGACAGATCGCCGATCTATCGGAGGCGCATCCGTTGAGTCCAGCTCAATACTCCCCCCCCTCCTGAGCTGGTCCCCCTCCCCTACTCGAAGAAGAGCCGTTTTGCGCTCAAGCCATTGAGCGTTGCAGGTGCAGGATTCAAAACGGCACTTCGTGCCTGCGAGTCATTCAGCTTCGGAGAGGGCCGTTCCCTCACACGTTCATAATCATTTCGCCGCCATGGGGAAGGGCGGCTATGGCAAGCGTGGCCCTGGAGGTCAGGGAGACAAGGGCGGCAAGGGTGGCAAGAACTTCCCTTCGGCGGCCGCCCTCGAGCGGGAGATCGCGCTGTTCGACGGTGGCGGCTCTCCTCCTCCTCCTCCTTGGGCTGCACGCATTCCTGGGCTGCAACAAGATGCTCCTCCAGCCCTCTGGACATGCTCGGCTTGCGGCTGCAGGAAGAACGAGATGCGCTGGTCTCGCTGCAAGCATTGCGGCTCTCAGTGGACCCCGTTCCAGCCATACACGCCCTCCTCCTTCGGCACGCCTGGTGGAGTCTGGTCAGCTGGCTTCAGTGGCAGCCTGCCGTTCTCCCCTTTTGCTGCTGCTCAAGGGCCTCCAGGCACCTTCGCGCTCGGCGACAATGGTGGAGGCAAAGGTGGCAAGTCACCAGGCGGTCCAGTCAAGCCAGAGTCCCTTCTCTCTCGGGAAGAGCATGCGTCTTTGGCGGAGTTGCTGGCCAAGTCTGGCGACGCGCTGGGAGCGGCCAAGCATCGTGAGCTGGCCAAGCCTCCACCTGCGGTCAAGGAGCCCACCCTGCAGCACCAGGTCTCCATGGCCCACAGCAAGCTGCGCGGCCTCGAGAGGAAGTTGCAGGGCGCTGTTCAGAGGTACGAGGAGTGGTCGGCGCAGATGGTGGAGCAGCGTGCATTGGTCACCAAGTCCACTGAGGAGTGCGAGCAGGCCGACGCTGAGCATCGTCGACTTGTGGCCGCCCTACATGCTCAGACGTCAGCGGCTGACTTGCAGAAGGAGCCAGTTGACAAAGCCGTGCCATGTTCGCTGTCTTCGATCATGGACGGGTCCTTCACCGACAAGCTGGTCATCGACCCCTCGGAGCTGCTCGGTGGCGTCGAGGATTTCGAGCTCTCGGAGGCTGACAAGGAGGAGCTCGAGAAGAGGGGCAACCAGCTGCGAGAGGGCATCCAAAAGTTGGCACAGCGTCTTTTTCGCGCAGGCCTCCGAGACTGCCAAGAAGATCCAGGAGGCACACAAAGAGCATCTTGGACGCCTGGCCAAGAAGAGGAAGACTGACGAAGGTGCAGCTCCTGGCGATGACGGAGGTGGTGGTGCTGAGGCAGCCGCAGCCGATTCTGCCACTGGTCCTGCGGCAGCAGCAGCGCAGCCTACGGAGGTGGATGCTGAAGCTACCGCTTCTGCTGCTCTACGCCAGCGGGCCGCCAAGATCATTCAGCATGGGCAGCCTGAACAAGACCCTCCCCCTGCTGCCGCGTGAGCTTCAGCAGGGGGGCCTTCATCGTGAACACGTTCAACCCAGCGGCACGCTCACTTGCCCAGCCTGGCACATGTTCTCTCCGTTCCCCTCGGCAGGGGACTTTAATGCTCTGGGCCTCGGCCTTGCACCTCGGGGCGGAGACGAGAGTTGCCCAGGCTGGCAAGCAGAGCCCGCACCCGCTGAAGCTGCAGTCGACGCTCGCCCTCGTGGGTGCCTTCAGCCTGCTGCTGACGGAGTAGGGCAGTCTTTTTCTTTCGGAGCCGTGGGCCTCGAGGCCTCCGTTCCTCCTGAGCTGCATCCTGGATCCCTGGATTTGTTCTGGGGTTGTCTGGACATGCCGTCTTGCCGTGGGAACCTCCAGGGAACGTTCGTTAAAACTGGAGGATCCCTCGAGCAGTACCCACCTTTTGCTCGAAGCAGCTTGGAATCTTTGGCTAGGACGCTCCCCCAGCCTCTGGGGGCACCCGTTTTCGGGACTGGTGAGCTTGGCGCCACCAGGGCACCATCTTGCTCGGCCTCAGTGTGCAGTCTCAGCTCTTTTGCCTTTCGGCGTTCCCGCTGGACCCCTCCCCATGTGAAGCGACCGTCTGCCTTTAAGAGATCGCACTCGTCGCTCAGTGGTGCCGTCAAGCACACCCTTTGGAGGGCCAAGCGAGTTCTTGCCTCTGGCATCGCCAGCTTTGCACGTGCTGTTCACAGTGCTGCCTCTTGCGAGGCGCATTTTTTCGGGTTTGCCAACCCGTGTGATGAATATCCAGTGCTCGTTGACCTGCAGCCGAGCAGTCCTGTTGAGTTTTTTCAGCGGCCCCTCGGATCCTTCGGTGAGTTTCGTCGCCTCGGGTTCCCCTGAGGCCTCTGGAGGCCACTGCTCGGCCCTTCTGGACAGTCTTGAGATTTGCATCCACGCGGTGAATTGCAACCGATGGTCGACCATGAAGGAGCTCATGGCCAAGACTCCTGCGCACATTATCTTGTGTCAGGAGCGCAGGATGCGAGAGGAGGAAGATCTCTCACAAGCCTCGGCGTGGTGTGCTCGCCAAGGGTGGAAAGGCATCTTTACCGCGGCCCACGGTACCGCTTCTGGTTCCACGTCTGCTGGCACTTGCATCCTTGTCAGAGACTTTCTCGGCCTTCATGAGCCCCCTGGGGGGGCGGTGGTTGCTGTTGGCAGGGCGACTGCTGGCATAGTGCACCTCCCGCGAGGTGATCGTTTCGCTCTCTGCTCGGTTGATCTCCATCACTCTGAAGGGTTGTCTGAGCGTAATGTCGATCTCCTGGCCACTATTGGGGAACGTATGTCGTCCCTTTCTCTTCCGTTTTGTATTGGGGGGGATTACAACATGGATCCAGGCACTTTAGCCAGTTCGAAGTTCGCTGAGAAGTTGGTGGGGCTGCTTGTGGTGGCCGAGGGGCACTCTCATTTTGGCGAGGGCCCTCCGTCTTCCCTGGACCACTTTGTGTTTTCGGGGGGTCTTGGTAAAACGGTCAAGAGCTGTGAGGTCGTTCAGGACACTACCTTGAGCCCCCACAGGCCGGTGCAAGTTGCGTTGCATGCTTCGTTCGGCAAGTTGAAAGGTCTCAGCTTCAGGCAGCCCCCTCCTCTCCCTGCCACGGCTGTGATAGGACCGCGTCCTGCACCCCCTGACTGGAGTCTTGTGCGTGAGCTTGCTGACCAGGCCTCCAATTGTGTTGCTGTTGGTGACGCTAGGGGCGCATCGTCGCTTCTTTCGCCTTGCTATGCTGCCTGGGCTGACAAAGCCGAGGCTGAGCTTGCGCCGATTTTGGGACAGTCTGTCCCCTGTCTTGGTTCGAGATCCAAGGGCCCTCAGCTTGTTTGGAAGAAGCTTGTCGGTCGTGATCATGCTATTCGGGATCCTGAACATCATGCTGTGCGGTGGCTCAGCGTCCAATATCGGGCCCTAGCTTCGCTCCTGGATTCGAACCAAGGCGATACTCCTCAGGCGAAGTCGCTGACGACGCTGCTACAGGAGCCTCCGCACCATTTTGAGGTTTCTGCTGCTCTTCGGCCTCTCTTTGATGAGGTTGCCCGTGCTGTCGCCAAGCCTTGTCGGGATCTCTTTGGGGGTAGGTGTTACGACGTGGCTCTTCGGGACAAAATTGACGTTGCGGTCAGCAATGCTCAGTCTGCTGCCAAGAAGAGATCCCGTCAAAGTTGGCAAGCTTGGATTCGCGCTGGCCTGGATGAGGGAGCGAAAAGAGTTCACATGTTTACCAGGGACCCGTCCCCTTGGAAGGCCACCACCACCCTTTCAGCTGATGGCGCCATCGTGTCTGATCCCCTGGCGCTTTTGGCTTCGGAAGGTTTCAAGTTTGCCGCCTTTTGGGGCCAGGGCTCTGGAGCCTCTAGGGGCCCCCCTTCTCTTGGTCCGACTCTCCCGAGAGTTTCGGCCGACGAAATCAGGGAAGTCTCCAAGAAATACAAGATGGGGTTCAGCGGTTGCCTATGATGGCTTCAGTTGCCGTCACTTTCAGTACTTGTGTGATGATGCGTTGAACTCGCTCGCCGTCTTGTTTGAAGTTATGGAAGCGCTCGGTGAATTGCCCGAGCAGATTTCTGCCGTGCTGCTCGCGCTTCTCTCGAAGCCCACTGGCGGCTACAGGCCTATAGGGGTGTTCTGCTCCTGGCACAGGGTGCGGGGGAAGCTGCGGCGCCCCTTCGCCCTCGCCTGGGAGCAAGAACACCCCCGTAGGTACTGGGCTGCTGGTGGGCATCGAGGTGCTGCTGACGTCGTTTGGAGGCAGTCTGTTCGGGCTGAGCATGGCACAGCGTCGAAAGAGGTTTCGTGCAGTGTGTTCTATGATATGCTTAAGTATTACGAGACCATTGACCTTGTCAAGTTGATGTCCCAATGTCAGAGACACGGTTTTCCCGCCCCGATTGCTCGCCTTTGCATCTTTGCCTTTCGGTGCGGCCGTTTCCTTTCCCTGGGTGGCATCCTCACGGGCCCCTTTTTTGTTGAACGAGGGGTGGTGGCGGGCTGCAGCTTCGCCACCACCCTCATCAGGGTCTTTGCCCCCGACGCGTTCGACTCGATTCCCTTGTCCCCCAGATGCGACCTGGACATTTACATCGACGATTCGGGGGTTTCTGCGACGGGCCCTCGTCACCGTGTAATTGCCTCTATTGTCTCCAGCTCGCAGGCCTTGCACACGGCTGTGACCGACATGCTTGGCTGCAGTATCGCCCTGTCCAAAGTGTGCACGGTCTCCTCTAATAGGGCGGTGGCCAGAGAGGTTGGCAAGCAGCTTGGCAGTCTGGCAGGCAGGATCGAGGATGTTACTGTCAACTTAGGTGTGGACTACATGGCGGGCAAGTCCATTCGTGCCTCTGGTCGGGCTAGCAAGCTCAAGTCGAGGCTGGCTACTATGTGCCGTCGAGCTAAGAGGCTCAAGAGGCTTTCAGGTGACCTTGGGAGAAAATCTCTTCGGGTGTTTCCCTCGGGCCCTCTTGCGGGCGGCTCCTACGGGGCCGACATTGTGGGCGTTTCCGACCACGACCTGTTATTATGCGGAGACAAGCCTTCTCGACTGTGCGGCCGTTTTCTCAGGGCAGGAGTCTCACTGCCTGCTGTATTTTAGCTGGAGATCCCACCTGGAGGGCGGCTTGCGCGCCGGTGCTTAGGTGGGGAAAAGAAATATGGCTTGCTCAGACTAAGGTCTTCCCGCACTCCCTGGCCCTCAAGGAGCTTAGAGATTCTTGGAATGCCGTCTGGGGCCTTAGCAGGATCAGTTGGGGTCTTGTTGGGGGTCCTGTTTCTGCCCTTAGGCTTAGCCTGGTCAGGTTAGGGTGGCATATGGACAACTTCATGACCATTATTGATGACAGAGGGTACCACATCCCCCTCGGAGTGACCTCCCCTGCTCTTTTGTGTTTTTTTTTTTTGTCGGGAAGGTATGATCAGAGCTCTGGAAAGGGATTTGGGTTGTAAATGGTCGTCTGGAGGCCGCCTCTGCTTGGATGTCCCCCGAGCCGCTCTTGCGTCTAGCAAGCTTTCTGCCAGTGAAAAAGGCATGGTGCGAGCTCTGGCGTGTAACGCCATCTGGACTCCTGATCGTGCCATTGCCTGTGGATATCAAGTTTGTTCTAAGTGCGTTCATTGCGGTGCGGCAGATTCGCTGCACCACCGTCTGTGGGTATGCCCACATGTGTGCGATCAGAGAGCGGAGCTTGCTAAGGACTGGATCATTGCTGCGGCCCTAGACACTGAGGCTGAGGGCTACTCGGACCTCCTTTTCTGCTTCGGGGCTTTCGCCCATCCCGCCGATGCCCTTCCGAGGCCCTGCCTCGAAGGTAATGTGGTGTTCCGCTGGCATCGTGATCTGCTCGAGGGCCCCGAAGGTTTCGAGGCTCCCCAGGAAGGTGCTGTCTGGGGTTCGCTGTTTCTCGACGGGTCTTGCAGGCGGCACATAATTCGTGAACTTAGCCGTGCGTCGTGGGCCATCACGATGCACAACGACAGTGGGGACCTTTTAGGGGAGGTTATGGGGCCTGTGCGGGCTCAATACCCTCAGACCCCGCAGGCTGGAGAATATTCAGCTCGTGGCATGGCTGGTAAGATGGCCAAGTACCCTTCCGCCCTGTTCTCAGATTGCTTGAATGTGGTTAAGCATTCTAAGTTGCCTCCTGTCGAGCGCCTCTCGGGCAAGAGGGTGTACAGTGGCATAATCATGGAAGCCAATGCTCGAGAAGGCACGTGCATTAAGGATATTGTCAAGGTCGCTGCTCACAAAGATTTAGATGAAGCCGGCATCGACCAGTTTGAACGGTATTGTCGCACATGCAA